TAATTCGTAGGGGTAATATGTAGTTTACTGTGAGTTTATAATCTCAAGAATAAGGTTTGTTTCCATAAATTCCCTATTTTAATAGCAAAAAAATATATATACACACTTTTTTATAAATTAAAATTGTAAATGAAAATTTACAAATCAACTAAGTATTATAAAATATGCCACAGGGGAAATTTATTCAAAATTTTATTGCGGTATATTATTATTACTATTTTGATCTTTATAAATGTTTTAACTCAATATATTATTACGAATGTGCTTCTTTTGCTGACTGATACCCAACAATTTTGATAAACCTTCTCAAGTTTGACATTAAGAGTCTTCATTAAGAGCAACCTCCAATTCTGCATCTTCAATAACTTTTTCCGTCAACCAATATTCCGGTATTCTACAACAAAATAGCAACTCTTGAAATTTTTGAACCATTTCCGACACGTTCTGTTACTAATATATGTTTTACCACAAGTATCTGAGATAGTCTGTTGAGTAACAGCTAAAGATCTTTTCATATTGAAATAAAAAAGCAATATTTTTTGCATATTACGAGAATACGATTTGAATTCCGACATATTTAATTAATATTTTTATTATGATGCAAACACAAATTAAGTTATATCTTAGTAGGCTCATATTAACTACAAATGTTAAAAAAGTGTTTGACATCTGTGTTTACTTTATTATTTCAACAACTACTGTCCTCTTTTGGCGAATGGCGGGAGCAAAGTTAGTCACTATGTACGTTTAAAATAAATAAGCTTAAATAGAAACAAGAGGTATTATTATACTTATAATCAACCCACTTCTGATTTTTACTAAGCCTAGATTTAATATTTAGTGAGATTTATTATACACAAAAAATTACTAACGGTGTAAACCTATTCTCATTTAGGAGACTTATATGTATAATATGCAGACCTCTCATGTTAGCGAGCTTTATTTTCACCTTATCCGATAAATCAGGACAAACCTGGGTCCTAAATTCTTAGTGTCAAAGTAATTCTTCGTTTTCTACATTTAAATGTTTAAATCTAAATAAACAGAATATGATGTTTATTTAAAACAGTAGGTAGGTACATTTCTATTCCAAATTGTTTTTAGTCCAAATCCGAAACGAGCGTCTCTTATCTACTAGAGATAATTTAACTCTTTAATTAATTCCTACACGTAAATTTTATTCTCTCCAGACTACTGCATAATTGTAAAAGCCTTCAACCACTTTCTCTCTCAGTTTATAAGTGGTTTAATTTAAGAAATTAAAAATGTTATATTTTCAAAATTTTTTAATGAAATATAGGATACATATAGATAGCAATATTCGATATTCGGTAACAATATACATATATTCACAAATGATATTAAAATATTAATTAAGTGAAATAAACATTATCGTTTTATTCCTGACGAATATTAAAGGGTAAATATAACATAAGGAAATTGCAGTGAACATTCATTATTAACATATTTTCAACTTAATATGACCGATACTATGAAACTAGAAAAATCTGTAAATGAATTAGCATATCCTGGTTTTATGGCAGAAAAATGTAAGAATTAATACTTAATCTAATAAAATATATATTTTCAATAACTTTCGTCTATAGTAATATTCTATGTTACAACTTCTTTATTGTTCGGTAAGAATGCCACAGATCATTGTAAATTCCAGTTGGTCACATTTTCAGTCACAATTAAATTAGTTCAATTTTAATTAATTCGAAAGTATTTAATTACATTTACAAAAAATAAGTATTCATTGCTATCATGAGATATATGACTCTTTAATAGTCAAAAATCATTTATATTTAAACCGGTAGACGAATTGATTCATCAAATTAATTTAATGTATAATATTTTGAGAAAGGCTATACAATAAAAAAGTATAAGATTATATTACATACTTCGAGTGGTATACATTTAGTTTTAACTTATTGTTTTGTCTACATTTAAGCCACAGAATTATTATTACGGAAAATCAAAGTGAAATTTAATATATATTTTTTTAAATAATTGCAATATATTACAAATCATTCAGACAAAAAAAAGTTAAAAAAAGTAGTAGACATAAAATAGTTTTGATGGTCAATATATTTTTCGACAGCTTTAGCATTTGTCGTTCGCAATCATACGTAATTATAGCTGTTAACTGAACAAACCGAACTACAATTTAAAATTTTAAACAAAGTTTATCAATATTCATGCCGGTGAATTAAATATTTTACAATCTCATTTTCAGAGTAATTTAAAAGAAAGATTTAAAGTCTATTTATTATGTATTTATAATTTTATATGTATGATTTTTTTGTTTGAAATTAAATGTTTCCAAAACTAAACAAATAGGTATGTAAGTCACAAAAACAGGTAATTTAGAATAATGTAATTAATAATAATTATCTCTAATAATTCGGTTTGGTCCCTTCGATGAAGAGAAATTAAGGAAATGTAAAATGTAAAACTAGTAATTTACTAAACAATCAATTTAGGTAATTTGAATTGGTTTTTAATTTTATCCATGCAAAATACAAAAGTAATGTTAGTAATAAATTGCATTTAAAAATATAAACTTTTTTTATTGTTATGATAGGAAACTTTAAAGGAATAATTAACTATTATATAAATTAATGATTATCCATACTTACGTAATAGTACTTTAAGAATTTTCTGAACAATTTTATCTATGAGATAAAATTAATTATTTCATGATTATGGCTTAATTTATAGATACTATGTATTTTATATGATTATATATTATAACCGAATTGCAATCTCTTTTTATAATAATAGGCCAGTAAAACTCATGTATTATATATAATACGTAAAGCAGATCATTTGTTTTATAGATTATTAAAATTTATAAATTTTTCAGTCAAGTAGATACATATATAAACATTAAACCTATAAATATAGGTATATAAATAAACATAACTTAAAAATCTTGAGTAAGTAATCCTATTAATATAATTTTAGCAGTTAATAATTTTACCTATAATAAAATGCTGAAGACTAATTTATGTAAAATAAAGGGGGATGACGGAAAATTATTATACTAAGCTGTTCTTAAATAGAACGTTACTTTTGTCCATTGATGACTAAAGTCCTTTTACACATCGTGTACTACCTACGATATATTATTCTTGTAATTTAAGCAGCAGTTAGTAAATTAAATAAATTTTTACAGATAACATTTATACACACACAATATTGAAAAATATATTAAAAACTACGTTCCTTCGTCGGTAAATATTTTTTTCGATAGACTTGTGCAATTTCAAAGGCTTTTTTAAAAAAAAAATCTTGATACTTGTCATTTTGTTTTGGATTTTAATGAAATACTGAGATTGTATTCCAACAAAGTCCATTGAAGCGTTTATTAAGGAATGATGATGTAATTGAATAGAAATGGCAAAGAGCGGAAGTACAGTTCGAGTCACTTATTATATTATTTGATGAAGCCTTGCAATTTGTTATAATTAAATTAACTTTACTAGCGGAAAGTAGTCTTAACTAAAACCTGGTATTTTAAAGTGCAAGTATTCTATAAATTTCTTGTAACAAATTTAAATTAACGATATTTTTATAGTATTTTACAAATAAAAATTTATTACATTTAATTGTACCTGTTATAGTTTTCCATCGGGGCTAGGTCAATATATGTATATAGGTAAATTCTACTCAACTGTAATTTATCTGTCTATTGGTGTGTTGTATCGAATACTTGTAAATAATATATTAAATAACAGATTCAATAGTAACAAGTAATATGGTATCTATCTTTTTGATGGCTATTTACAAATGGAAGAATAAGTATATATCGTTGTTTAAGATCAAAGTCATCCATTTTTTCTTTCAGACCAAGTCACTCATTAATATACGTACCTATACATACATATATCGGTCTGTGGTATATACCATACTTCCAGGATGAATTGAAAATATTCTTGCAACAATAATTTTAGTTAATAAAGCAAACAAATAATTTCAATGGTTTCCAAACTACTCACAGTGCTACAATGCTAAAGTAAACCGTTTGAATAGTGTCAAATGGTTCATACTAATACTGAATGCACCCGTATTGTGGTTTTGTAGGCAAAGACTCTATTGGGTTCACTTCACACGTATGACGAGCTGTTCTATAAATAAATTATTATTATTTTTTTAACACAAAATTACACTCAAATTATTGATCTATATTTATTAATCGAATAACTCAATGTAACTTAAATATAATTCAAGAACTCAATAAATAATATTGTAAATATTTAATTTTTACCATTGAAATATCGCAAAATACACTCATATCGGTGAGAGCGATGAAAATTTCTGCAGAAAAGTTTATTAACGCTTGTTCCAATACAGCATTAAAAGGTAAAATATTTAATACCACAAACTTAGCTTACAGAAAGAAATAAGTGTTTTAATGTATATATTAGTGGTAACGTAACTAAACAAATAACGTTTATCAGAAGGAGTATATTATAACATTTTTACTCATACGCATTGAATTTTTATTTTGAGTTCTAAAACTAATAAATACACTGATGTAAATAATAGTGTTTTGAGCGTTTACCAAATCTGTCACTATAATTCAAAATTATGCAAAATGGAACGTAAATTGAAAGGTTATTCACAATCAGCTTTGCGCATTAATCAGTGTAATCTAATTGTAATGGAGATGAAATAAATTCGGTCCAATAACATTATCTGACCGAGAGAGCGTAAATGTTGTCAGATTTTAATGTGGCTTTAAGTTTTATCTTTTGTATGATGAAATTACGTTTATTTCATTTTCATTTACTAGAAACTGAAAAGGAAAAAGCAATAATATATCAGAAATGCCATCAAGAGATAATCTGCTTTATTTTCTCTATTAAACTCTACATATCTTCTTTATTTATAAATCAAACAAATGTAGTGTATGTACTCATTTAAAAAAAATAAAAATATATAGTGGCTCATGTATAAGAAATTATATGAACATGTTCTATTTAATATTGCAGTTATGACACGAGATTCTCAGGGTCCAAGGGTCACTGGTCAGATGACACATTCGGAGATCGAGCAAGGTGGATCGCCTTCCCAAGTTCCGGTCTCCTTGTCCGGGATGTCAAGCCTCAGGATAGATCCATATACAGATGTCGAGTCGACTTCCAAGTATCGCCGACAAGAAATTATAGAATAGCTCTCGATATTATTGGTAAGCGTTCCAATATTAGTAATGACTATTTCTCTGAAAAAAAAAATCGTTATGTAATATAATTTTAAATATAATTATCTCTTAATAAATTACATATATAATGATCTCCGAGTTGGTTCCAATATAATATTATCATAATTTTATGTTTCTATGAACTTCAGTGAAAATGATAAAATAGGATTTATTAACATGAGATGTTTTTAAAATGATAAAAATATCTAGTAAGTCTAATTGGATTTATTTTAAGTTGTGGAAAACTTCGAAAATAACCCTCTTTTCCTGGCAAATCAGTTACTTTGCCATAAATAAAGTGAAAATAATTTTATATTTTAGAGATCATAGCCAAAATAAAATGTATTCAATAGTAGCTCAGAATGTTGATTCTAACAAGGTCTGAAAAAACTCGACAATTACTTGGTATACTTAATTGCGGAATTTACAACATCATCGCAGTTATTACTCCAACTAAACAACGTCAATCATACAGTTCTTTTTAAAATGAAACAACGATATTGAAGTGAAACACGCAAACTGTAAGTAGAGCAGCGTAGTGACCAAAGTACTTACAAGGTATTTACAAGTGTGGACCATCTCTTACATAACTTTATTGAAGTCAAATATATGCCCCAGCATAAAGCCTGATCACTATATTTACATTTTAAAGAACTAATTACTAAACCAATCTCATGTAATAGTTTGAAATTCATAAAAAAATATATATAATCTAACTAAAATAAATATCATCTAACTAAAGGACCACGTTCAGAAAGAACTGATAGCAATTAAAATTAATTATAATTATTTTTATATATTATGTATTATGTCTGTAATATCCAGAAAAGAAGCAGACAGGCTTACCGTAAAATGGCCTCGTGACACTCTTCAACTATTTCTCTCTACTTTGTTTTAAACGTTATTTTGTTAGAAATCTTAAGATCCTACATTCGACGTGTTTCCATTCAGGATTAGATTTTTTTCTGTAAACAATGTTTAAAATTACATTATTATAATATAAAAACTCTAAGTACCTATCCTTTCTCATGCGTACAGAGAAAAGAATTGAAGAGTCCACTTCTCTATTTCTTTAACTTAAAATTTAGAAAGTCAAGGAAAGAATTAGCAATTTACTGAGGTTGTGATCTAAGGATATCTATATATATAAAAGAAAGTCGTGTTTGTTACAACACTTATAACTCGAGATCGGCTAGACAAATTTTCATGGTTTTTGGTTCGTTGAATTTGTCTTCGTCGTTTGAAATTTTAGTGCTCACAAAGTATTTTGAGTGTCACTTACCAACATCCAAGATCACCAGGCCATCAAAATCAATACCATCAATTTACTCTTAGAACGCATTTCGGAGGCAGCCCAAATAGGTTTGATGCAGATTTGGTTAGGTAGAGGAGGAGCTTGGATTGTGATCGCTTGACGCGCGTTAGATGGGGCCTCTTAGACAGTCCTAGGCACTTTTAAAGCTCCTCTCACTGCAATGCGGCCCTCACACTGTAAATCCATGAAATACTGAGACATTTGGTCTGTTAAAAAATAACACTAGATGATATTTTAGAAGGAAGTCCGTGTCTTATAATAACTATATAGTGAAAAACCTTAAAATAATGAAATTGTGCTTCTCATTACATTTAAAATACTGTTTACTTGGTCATTAAATGGCGTTTCCTAAATTATATGTCTTTATAAAACTTTGACCTACTATAAAGCACTTTGTCTAGTTTTAGGCCTTTTATTATTATCTTATACTACATATAATTACAGAGGCGACGATAGCTTAATATATATTTTTTGATTGGTTAATAGAAGTAGGTTGATAGAACAATTACAGGAAAAATTATTTCTTGTTTAGAACACTTTTCTTTAATTATGTAATCTAAACCTTTTTTTTAATATTTAATATTAAACTATAAAATCACATTGTCTTGATAGTATTTATCATATTCTAAGAGATATTGTCGCTCTATTGCCATAATAACTTTAAAATTATACTTGTTTGTTTTATCATGCCACTTTTTTGTATGGACTATCCAAAAGATAAAACCAATATTTACAAAAAATTAACTCATGTCCTTCGAAACTGAATGCTTTAACAGCATAATTGTTAAAAATAAAATACAGAGCGAAGGAGGCGTAAACATAATACGAGTAACAATTTACGAGCTGTTGTTCGTAGCCGCTTATGAGGAAAAACGGATACAAGACGCTTTATGACAGATGAGTATTTATGAATACAAGTGGTATTTTATACGTAAAAGTCACAACATGTCTCAAATTCTTACCAGTTAAGAATATATTTATGTTTTTTTATTGTTTTAAATTATCTGGCTTATAGTTTTTTTATAATTTTATTTGTCGAGTAAGTTTGAGAAATTTAGTATTATTTCAAATCGTCATCCTCTTGAGCAGTTAAATAAAAGGTTTGTTGATCAAAAAATGGAATAGTGGTTATGCTTAGAGCTGAACTTAATCAACAATATGATAAGTATTCACTACTCATTTTATAGTTATGTATAACAATTAAAGAAAAAGATAGTCAGTGATAAAAAACTTTCAGAGCAGCTAATAATACATTGCATAATTTTTGACATATGAACATTATTTTTTTTAATTGATAGATGTATAATAAAAAATAAGTTTTAATTGTAAATGATATTATTACTACATATAAGTGATGATTTTTTAAAGCTATATTAAAATTTTAATTTCCAGCTTATGGCAAACTAAGTCAATTTATAAGTGGTTTTTAATTCACATGAAAGAAGGAGAATAAAAGAGATATTTCATTATTTTTATGATTAATTTTTGCTAGTAAAATGATAAATGATTTCGAGGTATCTTGGTTCAGAATTTACAATAATATCACTGTACCTTTTACCTAGAAGTGCAATAATCAATCATTATTATCAATATTAATATTCAATATCAATTATATATTACTTTTATATACATATCGACAACATATTAGATAAAGAGATGCCAACATTTTAAGATGTGATTGACCTCAACTTCTACAACCATAAGCCTGTATGAAAAATAATTCATTGAACCTACTTTTTTGTTAGTTTCAGAACCTACAAACCAGTGTAAAACAATATTGCGGCTATCTACATTTTTACCTACAATGACAATAGTGACTTCATCAATTGTTGGGGCATTAAAATGTCTTACGTGTCGCCATGCAGACATCTTGACGGCTTTTACTGGTCTTTTACAGAATAGTTGTGTGCACAACACTGATCCACTTGTCTTCCTGAATCGCCTATGAAATAAATTTGCAAAAATTTATTGTAACTTTCTAGCACTGGTAATAAGGATCCTGTTCTATGATATACTTGTCCTTGAATCTGCAAAGGTAGACATTCCTGTATTACATATACATATTGTAAAGTAAATTGTTCAAACAAGTGACACTCAAACTACTTTGTCAGCACTACCATTTCCCCCATCAACTTTTTAACACAATTAATTCTGGCGACTTAAAGTAATTCACAGAGCTACAAATGTACTTTAAGCCATTTCAAATGATACATTACAATTGACAATTACAGTTGAAAATTGTCAACAATAGTGGTAAATGTTTTTCAATACAATTTCCTTAAAAGTTAGCATAAAATTTATTGTACTGTAAGGCAATACTTCTATATCATTGGTTTGGGTTCCATCGATTCCGTTCAACTTCGGTCGGCGTTTCACGTTGCTCATCAGCTTGACTTGCTCGTCTATATCTTTGACTTGAGGCATTAAGGGTTCTGCGACTTAAGTTTGTGCGTCTAATTGCCGGCATTTTTTGAGACAAAAATTCAACTGAAAATAAAAAACACTATTCTTATTCTATTTCTATTCTTTTGTAATAGTATCAAAATGATCTATCAAAACTTTCCAACATTATAATAATTTGATAATTTATAAACAACTATAATAATTTGACTTACCTAGTTGAACAAACACTTCAGAAAAAAACACAGTACAAATTATCCTGTAGAAACCAATGTGAAAATTACACTAAGAAATGGTAAAGGAATTATGTAGGTATTTAGTTATTATAACTCCGGCCACAAAATATAGTAAAACTGAATATGTACTCGTAGAAAACCACACAAAACAAACTCTTTGCAAACATTTTGAAACTTGAAAGATTAACTGAACTTTTAAGACAGAGACAATAGTTTATCATAGACTAATATAGTCACACAAATGCCAAGCTCAACTTATTTATCACAATAAAATAAATATTTAAAAAATTTTAGACATCACAAAGGGACATTTATGTTTTCGTTAATGTATAAAATAAACCTTATAAATTGTTTTATGAATATAATCTTTAATTTACACAAAATGAATGAATGAACGCTCCCGTAATCGTTAATCATTTGTCATTGTTTATAAACTCATGTCAACCATTATTAATTATATTATAGTATTTGACAAGATGGACACCAATTGTTTGACGAATGGCAGGTACAACCCGGTTCGAACTTCGATCCATCCTGGGATCCCTGGTTCGATCCTTTACATGTTCTCGTCGAGTTTAAGATTTATTCTAGGGGTGGAGACATCCAACGAACCAAAAACCATGAAACTTGGTCTAGCCGATCTCGAGTTATAAGTGTTGTAACAAACACGATTAATAAATACATATACTAGAAGACCCGGCGAACTTCGTATCGCCCTATAATCAAGAAATATCTGTTACGTTTTTTTATTTATATTTTTGGAGTTTACCTATTAAAGCCATAGATCTCCGTGTTTTGAAGTGCGACAGAATGATTGACATATGTATTAGTTAGTTGTCAAATCTAATGTCAAAAAAAGAGTTTGTATCAACAACTACTAATAAATTAAAAATTAATTAAAAAAAACATTGTCCAGCGGACAAAATTGTGAATCTAAACCATTCCCAGATCCCCTTGAACACACATAAAAAATTATTATATATATGTATCTACTAGCTTTTGCCGCGACTCCGTCCGCGTGGAATAGTGACTTCCGG